TCATGGCAGCCGGAACAATGGGGGGCAATGGTGCCAAAAAACATTCTGCTGTCCATGGGACTCTCTGACTTTTTTGCATGGCTTCGCCTGACAAGTTCCTTCTTCTACAACCTGTGGAAACACAGACTAAAAATCTTTCAAGATACAAAGGCTGGAGAGCAAACCTTTCAAAAAATCAAATCAAATATATGTTTAAAGCACACATTGGAAGCGATTTCCCCCAGTTAAAACTGCATAGCAAAACAGTCAATACAGCCACTGTTAATAGACAGATGTGTTTAACAACTTCACATCCAAGGCATGATTTTAAATTTTTCACACATGTTAAAATCAGCCTTTTTTGCTAGAAAATTGCTTATAACACCCAAACATTATATATTTTATAAAGCCGAGGCCATAGAGAATAAAGTAGTGGCAGTTGCAATTGTTCATGTGGCTCAATATTTTCATGGCTGGTTATTAAATGTATATTTTTCAGGAATAAATACACTAAAATGAACTTTTTGTGCATACAAATACAATATAATACCCAATTTTTGATAAGATATAAAAGATTAGGTTGTGTCAAGTAAATAGATACCAAACATGTCAATACTAAACATTGTTAGTGCCAGTGAAATGGCAAAAAAACTATGGTAGCTAAAATTTTAGCTGACACTTTAAAAGCCTTTAAGGATTATCAGTTTTGAGTTAAACATGAATTATGGCCCTAGAATTATTGCTCTCACTCCAACATTCACAATGATACCTCACATGTGTGGCACAAATGCTGTTTACATACACTTACATTCAAATGCATGTTTGCATTTAAGTGTATGCGCAAAGGTGCTTTTAAATTTTTTAAATTTATTTTGTTTTACAATTTTTTTTTTTCATTTAACTTTATTGCTATTACAAGCGGGCTGTAGAGTCACCCAGATCCCTTATCACTGAACAGCAGCTCACCAGTTAAAAAAAAAGATACTAAGATCATGGCCGCAGCCTCTGCCATCAGCTTGTTTAAACCATTTCAAGTCTAGGATCTTTAAAATGGTCTAAGGATATGAAGTGGTTAGAGGAAATTCCCATACTTTGCAAAAATATAATTGCACCCTTATTGCAAAAAACAAAAGTGTTCATTTAGTTTTTTTTTTTTTTTTAAATGGTGCTTAGATTGGAACCTTGATCAGGGGAGCAGTGGCTCCTGTAGCCTCTTCCTCCATCTCAGGTCCTTACCAGGGTATAGTTCTTCAGTTATGGAACTGGAGGAAGTATCAATGGACTACAAGTGTAGTAATGTCAATGCATTTTTTTCTCATTGATAACTATGAGTCCGCACAGGCTAGCCAAAACTCAACTTTGACAGGAGCTGGAGGGGAGAAGAACCCCCAGATTCTGTAAGTGGGAAGGGTTTGAAGATGAGGGACTATAGACTTTGACCATATTTCATGTTACACCATAAATATGGGTGTAACATGAAATATGGTCGTAAAGATGGACTTTGCTTTTAAATGGAAATCTTGAATTTTGATGCAAAAGTCAAGATTGGTCCCACCTCTTACCACCTCCCAAGCCACGTATCAACTTAGACTAAGGTAACTATGAATATAGCATACCTGTGGGTTGCCTTTGGAAGCTGGAAATCCCTGTGGTAGACATTGCTACTCTAGTGATCTCCACTAGCTTTTAGGTCCTGTGCTGTCCTGTTGCATTCTGAACACAGGAGGTCGACAGGAGGCACCATTCAAAGATTTCTTTACATTCTCTCAATAAATGCAAAGCGCTCTTTGATTGGAGAGGGGGGCAAGGATTTCACATGCTCCACCTCTTCCAATCAGAGAATGTTTGGAATTTATTCAGCAAAGCATTCTCCAAATCAAGCTTGTGCCAAGCAGCCCACCTTTTGTATTCAGAATGCAGCAGGACAGCCACTTGGAGCAGGACCCATAAGATAGTAGAGATCACTGCAGTAGTGGTGTTTACTACAGCGATTTCCAGCTTCCAAGCTAGATCAATGTAAAAAATGCCATTCCTGGAATTCTTCTTTAAGAAAAAACACCACTAAATGCCCACTATTACACGTTATTTGTCAGAAAAGCCTCTCTGATTTAGTTTCACCGCTACAGTAGCCTTACAGCCCTTGACTGGATGGCCATCCTCCCTGCCCTGGTTTTGTAACCTACACTGGCCACTAAGGAGGCTTCATTGGACACTGGAATGGTAGTTGGCAGGTTATAGCCATGAAGCCACCCCCCATTAACAAGGTAAAACTAAATCAGAGCAGCTTTTTGGGAGTTTTAAAGATCGCAGCAGACATCTTGTGGTATCTACTCTTTGAAAGCAGGTTTATTTCCAGACTTTAATATGGAGCACACATTTACTTTTATCAAGAAAATGATATTTTTCCCCACAGGCAGAAAAACGGGGTTGTACATTTAAGGCCATTCATTAGCAACACTGAGAACTAAGAAACATAGATTTCAAAAATCAGTTTGAACTTGGTACATGGGGCTTTGGATGTTTTTATACTTGAGTTGTAGAATCAAAGAAAAAAATGAGTTATTTGAACTGAGCTTGTTATTTTAGCTAATGAAAATATACAATTCATAATCTTCAATCCATGCAAATATCACCTAAATGTGCAATTAGAGTAACATATTTTGGTTGAAAAAAAGTAAAATGTCCATTGAGGCCAGCCAAAGACAGAAATAGATAAATTAAAAAATTGTATCCTCAGAACTCTAAATCCGCAGATAATTCAAACAAAATTATAAAAAAATAAAAAAATACCCTTAGGGCCCGTTTCCACCAGATGTGTTGTGCTGCTGCACTGGGCAGCCTTGCCTAATGCAGTCCTAATCAACAGACAATATCAAATGTCCATTAAAGCCAAACAAAAGACAAATATATAAAAAAAACTTATTGCGCCAAACCTTCAAAATATCAATCTAAACTGCTGCTGTGCAAATTGTGAAAAACACAAACAATATAAATATAAATAAACAGCGCAAAATTAGATTCTTAATCACTCATTAAATTTAATAAAATACGTGCATAAATTAATAGTGCTTATCCTCACTCATAAATAAAACACCCAAAAGTCCATGTGCTAAAAAATTATTAAATTATTAATATAAATGTGTAAACTTCTTTTCTTAAAAATTTCTTTAGGTGTAAAAAAAGGAACTTCCACCAAAAAAAATCCACCCGTGCACAAACCAACATCAAATACACTCACCAGAACTTGGTGAGTAAAAAACCTTTAAGGAATTTTAGGGATCCTAAACCCTCCTTGGTGCCACACTAGAGGAAATCTTCACCATCCGAATAGACTCCACCGTTCAACCAGAAGAAAAAACTCACATAGTATAATATTGTCACACAATAGTAACCTTTTAAAACGGAGATTAAGGCCACTCACATGTTAATCACTTGATAAAGGCATGTTTATTATATATAGTAGGCTTCAGTTCAGCAAGTATACAAACTCTTTCTTCCAGGAATCTCACATCCACAGTGGAACAAAGCCAGGACTCCTCATAGACCAACACAATTAACCAAGATGGCCGCTGGAACGCACCGCTCAGCGTGCGTTCCACTCACCGGAAATGACGTCAGGCGTACGGGGTGTGAACCGGAAATGCGTCAACGCGTTTTGCCCCTCCCATCGGGCGTTATCAAGACCATGAGTGATTAAGAATCTAATTTTGCGCTGTTTATTTATATTTAAAAGACAAGAAAAAATAAATTTAAAAATTGCATCCTCAAAACCCTAAACCCACAGATAATTCAAAAGTAAATAAAAAAAATAAGAGGGCCAATTCACACCAGATGTGTTGTGTTGAACTGGGCTGTCTTCCCAAATGCAGTCCCAACCAATAGATGAGACAAAAAGCCTTTTTATCCAATCATCACACTGTACTGAAACCAACAGAACTTAATGAAATGTTGTTTTGCGATTTTTCAAGTTTGCACAATAAATAAATAAAAAACAGTGGAATGCACAGTTTTCAGTGCATTGACATCCCTGCCATCCAGAGCACCATAGGCAGTGCAAGCTGGTGGTGTGAAAGGGCCCTTACAAAACTTAGTTCAATTTGCTCCACTTGGGGAAAAAATCCTTCCACATTCCTACGACAACTGGATATTGCAATAATCTAAGATTCTACTTCTACGGCGTATTCTAGAATTAGTTCCTGTGGAAGTCTATTCAACGTTTTTGCAGCTTTTACTGTAAGGATTCCATATGCAAAGGGTAATCTTCTTTTCCTCCGAAAACAAAGAGTGCCCCTTTGTCACCTAAAACGACCTAAAAATAAACAATTTTGCACCAAGTATATTATGGGACATTTATATGAATATACTAAATTATTATGAGCCTTTTTAGTTGCCTTTTCTTAAACCTGTACACACTATCAGTTTTTATTTCAAACCAGTGGACTGAATGAAAACAAAACAGAGGAGCTTGGGAGGAGCCGCTGTTCTAACGATCCAATATTAGTACAGCGATACCCCCACAGAGCTATTGTGTTCTGACAGGGGCACTGCCCCTCCACCAAAGCCATTGGCTGCCAGCATCGAATGCTGGTTTTCCAGCATGCCCTTTCGACAGAAGTTGGTCGTCCATCCTGCTTCTGTCGGACAAGTGGGTGTACACGTGGGTCAAACATCGGCTGGTTTCTATTGAAACGATCAATATTTCTCCCGTGTGTACGGGGCTTTAGGGGAAACTAAATTCAGTTCAATTATCTTTCCTCGTAACTGAGACCATATTATTTAATAAGATGCCCATCACTGCCCACTCCACAGTTCTTTTTTGTGAAGTAGTGCATAAAACTGAACTTCATGTTAGAAAAAAAGGTCTTACTAAAGCTTTTTTCCAATGGCAAAACTCGGTCCGAACCCAGTTTACCAGAAGTGGTCATATGATTGAATCCCCACCTGCCCAATCATATGCAGCCAAAGCATTCTATTAGGTCAATGCTATTGAGGTCAATGTCCTTAAGTCAATGTCATTGAGGTCAATGTCATTGACCTAATATGGCCATGTGGCTATATTAGGTCAATGACATCATGAGCATCTCTGCTCCTTTGCATATGTGCAGCTATGGGATTGGGAACATTGTGGGGATGCGATCATATGATAGGTACCCTTGGGTCTCACTGAACTGGGTTTGAACTGAATTTAGACCAGCCCAGGGGCGAACTGACAACTCATGGGGCCCCCGGGGAATCGAGGCTCATGGGGCCCCTGTGTCCTTGCCCAAACTCAAAAAACCCTATGAAAAAGTTACCAGAGGCATCTCATGGGGCCCTCTACTGACCCCGGGCCCTTGGGCAGTGCCCGAGTTTCTAAATGGTCAGTCCGCCCCTGGACCAGCCCAAATAATTTTTAATGAGGAGGCATATTTAAAGCAAACCTTCATACTATAAAACAACTTGCCTGCCACCCCCTGTCTTCCAGAATTAGATTTATATATATATATATATATATATATATAATTTTTATTTTTTTTTAATCATTATTTATTTATTTTTATTTTGAGGCCCTATCATTAATTTGATTGCCATTCTCTGCACAGTCTCCAGTTTATTTTTGTGAACTGATGCCTAAACCTAAACCCCGCATTCAAGATCAGGTCTTACTAAGACTTTGGACTGGGGTATAACTATGAGAAGGAAGGTGCTCGGTTCCATCCAAACTCAGTCCACACCCAGTTTGGAAGAAGCTGTCACGTGATCAAATCCCCATTGGCCCAATTAGTTGAGGCCATGGCATTCCATGGGGACGCACCACAAAGGTGAGATGCACACTGTGCAATTTAAAAATAAAACTGAAACAAAAAAAGGCATTTGGGAGGTGACAGTAGCACTTCATGGATACCTGTCAGCCGCTGCTATACTGCCCTCTGAAAAATGATGCACAGCATGTTGCTTTTCAGAGGGCAATAAGCAATTCTGCAAGTTTGAAAGACGCCATAGTAATTCAACCCTTTTACTTCCATGATTTTAAAGCCTAGGTAGACCCTCTAAGTCAGTGGTTGTCAACCTTCCTAATGCCGTGACCCTTTAATACAGTTCCTCCTGTTGTGGTGACCCCCAACCATAAAATTATTTACCCAGTAATTATAATTCATGAGTGTCGTTTTACCTCCAATACTGCTGCTTTCAACACAGTAGCTGCTTTTTACACAGTAGCTGCTCTTTACACATCGGACATATGTGTTTTCCGATGGTCTTAGGGGACAGCTGTGAAAGGGTCGTTTGACCCCCAAAGGGGTCGCGACCCACAGGTTGAGAACCACTGCTCTAAGTTATCACCAGTTTGAAGTCAGCGGTATTCCAAGGAGTGGAGATGCAAGAAACACGGTTGTGAAATGATTTTTACATGCAACATACTGCAAAAATCAAGACTATACATATAATAAATTCAGCTAATCCGAGTGATAAAACCGTCAATGAATTGCAAAAAACAAAATCATTGAAAATAACTTCATTTATTATGCTTTAGTGAAAGGACTGTTGTATTCAACATATGGAGAAAATAAAATGTGCTTCCCATAGAAATTGGTTTTGTGCTGTCATTTGTGCTATTGTGTTCTAGAAATCTGTTTGCTGTGAGTGACAGTTAATTCATATCTGCCAACAATGACTGCCACTGACAGTGGCTGCAAACACTTTTCCTCTGTCTCTGTGGAGACTATGGAACCATCTCAGGAAGAGGTGTTAAAGAGTATCTAAAGCCCCCCAAATGTTTTTGTTTGTTTGTCAGATAGAATATGGGAGGGTCAGACCCCTTTGTTTTTTTTATCATTGTCTGTGTCCCTATTGAGGAGATTCATTTTTTAAATTACCCCTGGTGACCATCGTCTCCAGTACAAAACGTGACGGGGAATCTAACTGTTTTGAGTTGTCTGATGTATGTGTGATAGGGCTGGACCAATAGAAGCAAGGCTTGGTTCTAATGTAGTGGAACCTACATGATTTGTAATGAAGGTGTAGTGTAGGTGGACCTTGTTCTGGTCCTAGGCTGCCTCCTCTCTGTTGGGGACCACCTAGGACACAAATTAATATCACTCAGAGGTCTTCTTGAAATGTTTATTGGGTAAGAGCATCAAGTAAAGAAAACGTGTTTCGGGGGGAAAAGCCTCCCTCTTGTTTAGGTCTTGAGCAGTGGATGTTATCAAAATCACAATGAGATGTTATAAGCGGGCAGCACAGTGGCTAAATGGTTAGCACTTCAGCCTGGCAGTACTAGGGTCGCTGGTTCGAATCCCAACCACGGCACCATCTGCCTGGAGTTTGCATGTTCTCCCTGTGACTGCATGGGTTTACTCCAGTTTCCTCCCACACTCCAAAGACATGCTGGTAGGTTAATTGGATCCTGTCTAAATTGGCCCTAATCTGTGTATGAATGTGAGCTAGGGACTTTAGATTGTACACCCCTTGAGGGTTAGGGACTGATGTGAATGTACAATATATGTATGAAAAGCGCTGCGTAAATTGATGGCACTATATAAGTACCTGAAATAAATAAATAAGAGATGTACAGTCATTGGCCACTTTATTAGGCACACCTGTTCAATTGCTTAGTAGAACAAACTGCTAATCAGCCAATCACATGGCAGGAACTCAATGCATTTAGGCATCTAGACGTGGTGAATATGACTTGATGAAGTTCAAACTGAGCATCAGAATGGGGAAGAAAGGGAATTTAAGTGACTTTGACCATGGCATGGTTATTGGTGCCAGACTGGCTTGTCTGGGTTTTTCAAAAAAAAAACTGATCTACTGGGGTACAACCATTTCTAGGGTTTACAGAGAATGGCAGATTTGTGGAAGAAAATGTCAGAGGTCAGAGGAGAATGGGCAGAATGGTTGCCGAGACATTCAGATGGTAGGATCAGAATTTGGCATAAACAAAATGAAAGCATGGATCCATCCTTCCTTGTATCAATGGTTCAGGCTGGTGGTGTAATGGTGTGGTGGATCCATCCTGCCTTGTATCAATGGTTCAGTCTGGTGGCGGTGGTGTAATGGTGTGGGGGATATTTTCTTGGCACTAGCAAGGTGTACCTAATAAAGTGGCCGGTGAGTGTGTATTAGGGCTTCATAAAGACTATCAGATCTTAAAGGCACTATGAACTGCAAGCCTGTGCCATTAAGACAGAACAATCCTCATCAAGCCCTAACATACAGTCTCCTATTGCATCCCATATTGAATGTTCTTGAAGCAATGATGGACCCCATCTATGGGTTCAAAATATTTATCTTGATGGCATTGGTGGGCTGGAAAGGTTACCTTTTTATGCGATTTACCTTTTCATGGGCCCCTGGACATTTTTTTTTTGTTTCCTGGTACATGGAATAATGTAAACCTGTCCTAACAGGAATCCTGAGGGTGCTATTGCTGAGCTTCTCTTGAAAATGATTGATGCTTAGCTCCTAAACTAATCTCTCAGCTTTGATACTTGGGGTTAATTTACTAAAGGCAAATAAACTGTGCACTCTACAAGAACAGTTGCTCCAGAGCTTAGTAAATGAGGGGAAACTCTGCTGACTTCCATCATCCAGTCATTTGCAAGCACAAATGCTGTTTTTTTTTTTGTTTCCTTGTGATTAGGTATTCTTTCCAAAGAGAAGCTTTACCTCATTTACTAAGCTTTGGATCAACTGCACTTGCAGAGTGAACAGTCTATTTGCCTTTAGTAAATCAACACCTTTAAGTCACTGATTCAAAACACATAGGCAGTTCAGGAAAGTCTAAGGTCCATATCAGCATGACAGCCAGAAAATGTTTCAGAAAATGTAATCAATGACAGATTCTTTGTTCTTCTAACAACAATTTTCCTTTCAGTGGAATAGGCGAATTCTGAGCTTCACATTGTTTAAGCACTTCGGTGGTGCCACTTCGCTGACCCAAAACTGCCAAAGGAGTCAGAAAATAGCCTGCATCTGATATTAGTAATAGATATTCTGATATTAGTAATAGTCTGCATCTCGGAATGTTCCAAAATAAAAAAAGTCATACATTTTATTATTACATAAGGCTAATGCCCCGTACACGAGATAAGAAAATCATACGGAAATCGTACGAAAATTTTGCGGAACCGATTTTCTCTTCGTTGATGAGCAGGATGTTTTAACCGATAACGATATTGTGAACGAAAGAATCCGGTTGAATAACAGTGAACAAATTTGTTATTTCGCATGTGAACAACCGATTTTCTATGCGGTGGTATGACGATCATACAAAATAAATCTATCATGCGCTATCACGTGTGAGTGGAAACAGAAGATGACCCGGATGTTTATGTCCAAGGAATCTTCGTAAACACTAATGAAAAATCCAAATGTTAAAAGTAAATTGGCCTAATGAGAAAAAGAAACCAGAATTTTGCATATTCTATTTTTACTATTCATGTATATAGATAATGTAATAAACTATATTATACTCATTGCTGGTAATCGTTGTGTAAATCGCTCGTTCTGGCCGGAAAGGCGTGGCTACAAGGTCACACGCACACCGCATCACTTCCACTTGTACGGAAGACGTCAACACTACGTATTGCCCGATGAACGATTTTTTTTAGATTGGTTAATGTGGGCCACAATTTTGACCAGCGAATGAACACCTCTCTGTCATCGGATGACCGATCGGTTGATTTTCTAATCATGTATTCCCACCTTTAAGAAACAGCCCTATCTATTACTAATATACTATTGGAAGCAAGCTGGTAGAAGCTTGGAGTTGGGCTCAGGGGCGGACTGACAACTCATGGGGCCTCCGGGCAATAGGGGATCATGGGGCCCCTGTGTCCTTGCCCAAACTCAAAAAAACCCTATGAAAAAAGTACCAGGGGCATCTCATGGGGCCCCCTACTGACCCCGGGCCCTCGGGCAGTGCCCGAGTTTCCAAATGGTCAGTCCGCCCCTGGTTGGGCTCCAGGGCCTTGCAGTCTGTTTTATTGGGATATAGGGATTGAAATCTTCCTTTGGCTTTGAAGCCTCCATTTGATGTTTCCCACACCAAAATATTATACCAAAAATATATCAATAATATACAGCTATATAATATACCAATGTAGTTGCAACTGCAATTCAAATATTATACACATGAAAGCACATTTATGAAAAGTGATATATACATATATATTTGAGGTTGTATTATTACAGTTTGTGTCAGCTATAGTGTTTCAAGTCCAATTAGTCTCACACCTTTCTCCATTTATAACACTATGGTATGTGAAGAAATGCTTTAGGCTCAGTTCACACTGCTGCAACATAGGATCCGACTTGTAAGACCCCAAGTCAGATGACATGTGAAATTCAATGTTTCCCTGTTAGGTCCGTCCTATCTGATACTACACAAGTTGGTCCGACTTTAGAAAAGGTTCCTGCACTACTTTGGTCTGACTTTGATACGACTTCAGCGCCACAGAGTGTAAAAAGTAACATCAAAGTCGTACTCCAAAGTTGCACTGAAAGTCGTGAGACTTTGTAGTTGGGCTAATGTGAACCATCTGCACTGTCTGTACTCCTACTCTAGTGCTCAATGCTGGCATAGACGAGAAAACACCCACTCTCTCATCGCATGTGTCCTCACCAGGGGCGGACTGACAACTCATGTGGCCCCCAGGCAATAGGGGATCATGTGGCCCCTGTGTCCTTGCCCAAACTAAAAAAAGCCTATGAAAAAGGTACCAGGGGCATCTCATGGGGCCCCCTACTGACCCCGGGCCTTCGGGCAGTGCCCAGGTTTCCAAATGGTCAGTCCGCCCCTGGTCCTCACACAGATTTGTAGCGCTAAGAAAGAGAGGGAAGTGTCTGATCAGGTGCGTTAGAATAGGAAGTACCCTGGCCAGAGTGGACAAACCCCTGTGCCCATTGCACTCTGCAATTATATTCAGATTAAAACACAGAGGTATGGGATGCTCAGAGCATAGGGTGAGGGCACCACATCCAATCAATCATAGACCAAACACCTTACAAAGTCAGTTTCTTGGTATTTTTGTTTTTGGTATGCAAATATATTCAGACATTGTCAAACTGTTGTAATTAGGAAAGTGAAGGTAAGACTATGAAAATGATGAATGATTAATGTCTATATCAGTCTTTCTCAACCAGGGTGCGCAGGCACCCTGGGTGCCTTGAGGTTTCTTCAGAGGTGCCTTGGCACATTAGCTGAGTGATGGAGAAAGTCTGAGGGAGAAGAGAAACACTGGAATACTTGTCAGTACCAGTGTGTAAAAGTGTATTTGCTTTGGAAAAATAAATGACCTCTAATGTTGGGTGCCCTACGTCTGTGGGAGTTGCTGCATCATATAAAACTATTAGAATAGTTTTTTCACATTTTAGAATGGAGTGCCTCAAGACTGTCCATAATTTTAAAGGTTGCCTCGGGACTGTCCATAATTTTAAAGGGTGCCTCGGGACTGTCCATAATTGTAAAGGGTGCCTCAAAACTGTCCATAATTGTAAAGGTTGCCTCAAGACTGTCCGTAATTTTAAAGGGTGCTTCAAGAATGTCCATGATTTTAAAGGGTGCCTAAAAAAATAATGTCCATAAACTGTCCATAATTGTAAAGGGTGCCTCAAGACTGTCCATAATTGTAAAGGGTGCCTCAAGACTGTCCATAATTGTAAAGGGTGCCTCAAGACTGTCCCTCAAGACTGTCCATAATTTTAAAGGGTGCCTCAAGACTGTCCATCATTTTAAAGGGTGCCTCGGGAGTGTCCATCATTTTAAAGGGTGCCTTGACTTAAAAAAGGTTGAGAAACACTGGTCTATATGACCTAATATCTAATTCAGTGGCTTCAAATGGTCTTTAAAATATATTTCACAATAATTTTTTTTAAATAGGCATGTGGAACAGAATTGTACTGTATTGTGAACAATTCATATTATGTAAAAAAAAACATAAAAATGTATTGATATATTATTTATTGGTGCATAATTGGTACATTTTGGTTTGACTATTGACCTACCAATGTAAAAATATTTTTAGGTATTTTGGTGTGTTGAAAGAACTGCAGATCTGGTTATCTTTATAAAATTTTTGAAATTTCTAAGCTTGTGTAAATTCCAAGAGAGTCTGGTAACCAAAATCATAGTTTAGGGGTGCTGCTTCAGGCTCCTTATCTGTCCAAGTGATTCCCGCTAAAGAGTGCAGGCTGATGGAAAGTGCTCTTCTTGGCTCAATATGTAAACATATAGGAAGAAAGGATCCCAGGTGCTGCACATCCAGCAAAGCTAAACAGTGTCTATAGTAAAAGCAGCCACAGGCTAATCTTTATCCAGGCCACTCCCCCAATGTGTTTTGCCCCTCCCATGGGGTGAAACGCATTGGTGACATGGCCTGGATAGAGCTTGGCCTGAGACTGTTTTTACTATAGACACCATTGGGCTTTGCTGGATGTGCAGCACTTGTGATCTCTTTCTCCTACATGTTAATCTTTACCTGGTATCTTAAAAACTTAATTGACTTTGGTTTAAATATTTCAATTATTTCAAGTTTTTCAGTCAAAAAAAAAAGAAAAACAAACACCTCTGAACAGGTATAACTGTGATATGTTCTTAGATAAAATAGGTCTTTTTTTAAAAAAAAAAAAATTTTTTAATACAAATAATTGACATGTCTAACCAACATTGTCATTTATATTATTATTTTTACTAATATAAAATGTTTGACACGTAGTGTGTAGCTTTGACACTTCCCATCAAAATTACCCATGTGGCTCATTGATTGATGACCTTTAAATAAAGCTTGCCCAAGTACAAAAAACAAAAAATTTGTTTTATTCATAACTTTGTGTTCAGAGATACAAATTTATCTCATCTTTTGACCATGTAAATGATCGACCATTCTTTCATTGAATTCTGTGTATACTTATATTTTCTCAAAGAATATAAATTCTGCAAAATACAGAATAGGTCATTAAGTAAAATAAAAAAATATTTTTTCTCTTTTTAATCTACCAATACCATGGCATTCCGTGCCAAGCTTTTTCTGAACTCTTAAAGGTTTCAACTGTAGATGAATTAGAAGTAATAAAACGATAGACCCAATTCAAGCCTTCATTACCCAATAAAAAGCCAGTATAGATTTGATTTTCTTTTCCTGGAAGTTTCAGTACATGAAAAATATAACTTGGGTAAAACCAAGTGTAACCAACTCATCTTGAGGAATACACAGGATTTCAATATTTTAGATCACAATAGAATTTTTAATAAATAAATTTCTTTGTTTTTTTATTATTTTTTTTTCTTTTTTGTAAAGACACTTTTATTGGAAACAGTAGATTTAGCCCAGTCATTTTACGTTCCTTTTTTTAATATAAATGGTCTGTTTTTGCTCTTATTCTCCAATGTTGCAGAATTTCAGATCTGCGTCTCCTGTACATTGTCCTTAGAGTTTGCGCGAATCAATAAAGGTTCATGCACTGAGCTGTGTATTGAATTTATTGTGTTCACTGTTGTTGTGTGATTAAAAGGGGACTTATAAGAGTTATAATGGTTTAAATGCTCATGTTCTATTGCGGGCATGGGTAAGTGGCTCTCAATGGGCGTGTCAGCTGTGAGTTCATCATCCACGTTAATAATCTCAACAGTCCGCGTAGGAGCATGATGGTTCTTCCGATGGTGCTGTTTCCTCATCTTATAGAAAATTACCAACATAACAGCTGCCATAAGGGTGATGGCCACAAAACAGCCAATGATGATTTTGGTGGTCTTCATAACTTCGTCTATCCCTGGCATTCCACCATTTGCATCCGTAACCGGGATGGTGAAGGGCTTCTCGGTGGACCTTGTGCTCTGCGGCATTAGAGAGGTGGTTGCATTTGTAGTTTCCCAGTCAATGACTGGTGTAGGACCCACATGATGTTCCGTGGTCCTGGCCTCGTCCTGAGATGGTTCCATAGTCTCTACAGTGACAGTGGAAAAGTAAGTATAACCATTATCAATTGCAGTCACATTCAGTGTCGCCGAGGCAGTGGTGTTCCCTGCGGAGTTACTGACGATACATGTGTACAATCCTGTATCTCGCATCGTTACAGATGTAAAGTTTAGTGTGCCATCATTGAGCACAGAAATTCGCACTTTGTAAGCCCCATGAGTCATTATGGATCCATTTGGTGTAATCCAGCTAACATAAGTCAATGATGTTGATGCCCGACATTTGAGTTCAGCAGCCATACCTTCTGTAACATTCAGATCAGTGGGTGGCTCCAAAATCACCGGGGCATAGCATGTAAAATAGTTCTGGTCCAACTCAGCAATGTGAGTACCTTTTAAACTGGGAGGTGTGCTACAACGAGCACAGCATGTGCTGCCTGTAGTGACTATCTCCTTTAACCACCAACTAAGCCAAAGAATGTCGCAATTGCAGTTCCAAGGGTTGTGGTGCAACTGAATCCTTTGCAAATTATGTAGAGGTGTAAAAAGGTCATGAGGCAGCGTAGTTAGATTATTATGTGCCAAATTAAGCTCCACAAGTGACTGAAGGTCATCAAAGGCATTCCTCTCAATCACCTGAATTTGGGAATGCATGATCCACAGTTTCTGTAAATTGGTTAATCCTTGAAATGACCCTGGCCTGAGAACCGAAAGATGGTTACCAGAAAGGTCTAGTTCATCTAGCTTTACAAGTGGAGTAAGATTGGGGATTTCTCTTAGGTTGCACATCCCAAGGTTCAGATATCTAAGGTTTGAAAGCCCTTCAAAAGCTCCTTCTGAAATATAGGACAATCTTTTCATCTCCCCCAAATCCAGTCTGCGCAGAGAAGGGATGCGATTAAAAGCATAGGATGGAATGCTTTCAATAGGGTTGTTCCTCAGCCAAAGCTCCTTTAGTTTTGACAAATATTCAAAAGCTCCATTTGGAATGGTAGTCAGACGATTGTCAAACAGCTCCAAAGTGTTCAGATTTGCCAAGCCGTTAAAGGCCCCGATTTCAATCGTCCTAATGTGATTTCTACTCAACTGTAAAACTTCTAAGTGTCGTAAATGCTTAAAACTGTCCACTTTGATTATTTGGATCTGGTTTTCGTGGAGGTTAAGCTGCCTCGTGTTGGTGGAGATACCATCCGGGACTTCACGCAGGTTCCGTCGGGTGCAAATTACTTTGCTAAAACTGGTTACTGCAGGAACATACAGAAGGGCAGGTCTGAGCCCTAACCAACCCGGCCACCACGAGAAGTTGAAGAGCCAACAGCACAATAAAAAGGGGGTCAAATAAGGCCCTGTTGAACCTAGGACCTATCATCATCTGCTGTGGATGTAATGTCATCTTGTTCAACATTCATACTTTGTTTGTGTTTGGTCCTTCAGCAGTTCCAGTATTCTGCAAAACATAAAATAAAGAAACAATGTTAGTCGACTTATCAAAAATGTATGGATCACAACAAGCTCTGCAACCAAATGATTTTCAGTATATAAATATATCTAAACCCAAGAACAGAAATGCAATATTAGTAGTCTTTAGATATGGTGACTGCATTAGCTTTCTTCCTTAGGCTAAGTATTTTACTTCCATGACAGAAAAATTCATGATGATCCTTATGCCCAGTACCAGGACACGGGCATCCAACTCCCAGGGCAAAGATCCAAACTGAGCATCCCTTCCCCACTGTTAATATATTACGTAGTGATAAAATATAATAGTGGTGTAGCGCTGATGACTAAATGTGCAAACTCCACAATAATAAGATAAAAAACATAAATCACATAAATGAATAAATATATAAGTGATAGATCTTTCAAGATCTAGAAAAAAGTGTCTCAAACTGTGATATTAACAGTACACAAAGTGCATATGATGAAGCTGGTCCTATGCCCAGACCCTCATACAGTGACAATACCCAGTCCCACTTGGGACCAAACCCCAAAAGACTAGGTGCTATATACAGTGGATCCCAATATAAGGGATATGATCACAAATAAAGTGAATGATATATAAAGTACATCCCAAAATTTGGATAAAACCAAATAAAGTGACTAGTGAATAATGTTAAACACAATATATAAACATAAACTTCATAAACGCATAATACGATAAAAAGTGTCCAACATATTGCCAAGAATAGCAAAGATGGCAATGACTGCCAAAATGTGCCTATATCTTCAAACTTATATCACTTATATTTGTCCACTTATAGGTAGAGGTTAGGGTGTTAGCAGCATATAGAAATTAGGTTCCATATTAGCGCAGGGGGATCTCTGTCCCATGCCCGCCTCCGGGACTTCTCCAGGGTGTCACCCATCCTCTGGAACTCCCTGCCCCAACCCATCAGATTATCACCTACTCTCCTCTCCTTTAGGGCACCCTGAAAACCCACCTCTTCAGGGAAGCCTACCCCACCCCCTGCTAACCTGCCGACCTCCTCCACTCTTCCTACCACTCCATCCCCCACAGCTATCTCCTCCTGTACCACTATCCCCTCCCTCCTAGATTGTAAGCTCGAAAGAGCAGGGCCCTCGATCCCCTCATGTTTTGCATTGTATTGGTATTGTTCTGTCACATGTTCTGTCCCCCTTTGTAATGTACAGCGCTGAGTGAACCATTGGCGCTTTATAAATACTGTATAATAATAATAATAATAATCTAATATATTACATAGAATGGGTATACCACTCTGCATCCATTCTTTGCCCCCTTGCTTCACCACTCCTGGGGAAGCTGCCCCTCCTGCCCACCTCTTGTCTAGGCCCTGCTTATGCCTGAAATATTGTGTCCCTGTAACTTTCCTATGCACTGAATTAAAATCACAAACACGGTTGTCTGCATTCCTATATCAACACCACTCTATGTAAATGAGATGAAGAGAGCAAAAAGATATTTGTAATCCAAATCAGAAGAGTAGCCTAGGGTGAAAATGCTGCTCCTCCACAGATGCAGTACAGTGAGTGAGCGTTAGGTAAGCCCTGCACCCTTTGAGAACGTGCATCGCACGAAACGCGTCAGCAGGGGCTACAGCACATGGACATCTAGCCACCATTTGTGGCCAACTATATTTATGGTCAGTTGGTCAGTACCTTTATTTTATCCAATTTGAGAATAAAACTTGTTCATACTATACTACACCATGTGGCGTCCCTTATTGGGCTCTCTTTGAGAGCACCACCTTCCACAGTGCCTGGTTGGACCAAGGGGATTTCTGACGCCCTTACTGAACTCTGGGATTTATTGATTGCGGTGAGACGGAGGATAATATAGAGTGCGACCTGACCAGAACCCTATTGACCGAGATGTTTTGAAGATCATATCTCTCTACATGCGTATTTCATACGCACTTCTGGTGAGTGTGCAATCTATTTGTTTTAAGGCCCTCTACCTTTGAATTGCAACACATCCCTTACAGTAATTGACATGGGAATTTGGACTATTGTGCACTGAATAGTGGACGGTATTCTATTTTGTATTTTCTGTCTCTTTCTGCCTTTGCCTATACCTCTAGGGCATTTACACCGAGCACTTATTTTATGGTTTCTTTAATTCAAGCGCTGCACCGATCCCTCTCTTTTTTTCCAGTGAGTGAGCGTTGTCACCCTAGGAAAGGAAGGGTGTTATGGGTGGGACACCTAGGTGATGATAAAAGACAAAAATCCTGAAAAATGAAAACTTATTCAGTCATCACATTTAACCTTAGCCTCGGTATATACAGTTTTTGTTTTATATACTTTTTACATTAATCCTTGGTGAGTTCACCCTGAGACAAACACACTTTCCATGTCTATTAGCAGAATTATATTTTTGCTCGGAAAGGTACTGATATGGCAGTAACATCATTATTGGCGTAGTTCCCTGAACACAGAGACATCATCATTCATGACAATTGGGAGCCTTAAGACATTTTATCTGTGCACACTGAGAATTTTAATTGTCTCTGAAAACCTCTACAAGCATGGGAACAGACAAAATAATCTACTTTGTTTGTCTTAAAGTGAAGTTGTCACGAGCCTAAGCAGAGTAAACTAATAATACAAACATATAGTTCTTGTTCCAAGCATACACATACTCATCTTTTCAATAATCGGTCAGTAGGCTGAAATTTGCCAGTAGCTAGATTAAGCTAATGTTGACTTTTAGAGATAGCCAAGCGTTGGGCTTCCTTTTGAACAGTCAACATGTCTACAACAACACCTCCAAAATGTCTGGAGTTTTTGCCATTTCCCTTATAACTTCCTTATATCTTCTATGCTATGGCCATAGAACCATGATGGCTGCATCTACACCTTAAAAATGCATTTACTAATATCTAGAAATAGCTACCATGCTTAGATGTAAATCAATACAAAGACATAAGTTACAAACTGAAAACAGGTTTGTAAAAAGTCTTCTAAGCTTCTCCATAGCCACCAGTCAGAACGATAGTTGGAGACCAAATGTTTCAATCAAAGTGGTGGCTATGGGGCCCTAAAACACCCATTGCATTGACCAAATGAGAACTAATGTAAGGAGGCCCAAAAATGTATCACAACATGAGGTCTACAAGATAAGCTTGTTGTCTACATGTCTTTGCAACTAAAGTGTCAGGGACCATTGCAACACATGGGTCTGCACATGCGTAGGTGTCTGTCAAGACGTGTAGGAAGGAGGGCACTAGGACCCAGGCGCACCCGGCACCTATGACGGTGCTGGGCAGGCACTAGGACCTAGGCTGCGCCTGTCAGGTGCAGGGCGGGCTACTTAAACCAGCCCTGCACAGACACAAGTTGCCGTATGGTCTGATCTTTGCTCCTGTGTTCCTGCTATTCGAGATTCGTTGCTGACCTTGCCTGAACCTGACCTCCGCTGACTTCTCCTGCTCTGACCCCCTGGCTAGTTTGACCTCTCTTCTGGATAATCCCCATACCTGATCTGAACCTCTGTTGCCGACCCCAGCGAGTGACCTGACTATTCTTCTGCCTGCCGCCTTGTACTACGCTGATCCCACTGTTACCGACCCGGCCCGTTTGACCACGCTTACTACTCCGCCATCCATCCATCCCGCTCGGATCCCGTCTTCCACCTCTTCACGTCAGGCTCTCTACCTGCACATACCCCTGGCGAATCTCTCTACCATGGACGGGTGTACTCAGGGGCCGCGACCTGGTCCCTGTCTGCTCCAAGCCCATCCCCACCATCAGGGGCCCTGGTGAACAAGCAGACTGGGGCTTAGACTCCGCGCCCTGGGGAATCCTGTCCTGTGGACTGCTAGAGGCCCCGCTAGGTGGTTACTAACATAAAGTAAGGCAGGCCATAGATGGAGCAAATTTGCCATAGATGGAGAAATGCCGATGAACCAACGACCCTAGTACTGCCAGGTGGAAATGCTAACCATTTAGACACTGTGCTGCCCAGCATGACTCACTTCTGGCAAGTTTTCCTGACAGGAGATCATGTTGGTAGTGGCTCTTAGGAAGAGGCATTGCCTCGAAATGTGTCAGCCATTTGGAGGTATATAGTCCCCGACCAGGTACCTTCTGCCCACCCCTTGTCCTGGCCCTGCCCCCCTCAACTTCCTGTGCCAGGAGTATCTGTGTCCATTACTAATTTTCCTGCTCCAAAATCTACCAATATCAAAGTCCCTGGCCTGGAAATGTAAGAAATTATTCAGAAAGATTTTATAAATATTGAACGTTACATATTAGTCTTTAGGAGGTGACACATGGCAACAATGACGTTTGTCAGTAATCACTACTGAAAATCTGTGTAACAGTTGCAAGCCTGAAGTCTATCTTAAAAGGCCAGTGAGCATATTTGGGACATTAAAGGGGAGCTCCACCAAAAAGGGAACATTCCACTTGTCTGCCCCCCCCCCCCCCCACTTCCACTGCCAGATTTTTGCACTTTTTTGGGGGGAGCAGGTACCTGATAGCGTATGTACTCTCCAGCGCCTCAGGATATGCACAGCCAAAAGGGGAAGCCAAGGGTACCAGGACAGCGACAACCAAAGCGACATGCCTGAGCATCAACAGCAGGGCTCTTACTTTACTTTCCATTCATCGTGCATCAGCATCAGAGGTTGGTCATCAGCTCTGAGGAAAGGGATTCATCCCCGAAACGCGCCAGATATTTGACCGCACTGGCAGTGAGAACACCTTGCCCGCCGTTGTGGCCATTGTCATTTTTCTATGCTTTTTAGATACATGCTTCGTCTGTGAGTATGTTTTTATGATTTAATTCCTACAATAAACCTTGGATA